CCCAGGTACATGCCCTTGACCGGAATCGAACCTGGGATCTTTCAGTCCGCAGGCTGACGCTCTATCCACTGAGCCAAACCCGGTTTCGGCAACCGGCCAGCATTCTTTTTTAAAAAAAATATTTCTTTATTAATTTGGAAAGGAAGGGAGAGGGAGAGAGAGAGAGAAAATATCAATGATGAGAATCATTGATCGGCTGCCTCCTGCACGCCCCTCACCCCCATCCAGCCCACAACCCAGGCATGTGCCCGTGACCTGAATCCAACGCAGGACCCTTCAGTCCTCAATACGATGCCTTATCAACTAAGCCAAACCAGCCAGGGCAATAACCAGTATTCTTGCTGGACGTATCTGAATAATTTGGGCAGCAATGTACCTGGTGCCCAGCGACTTTGTGATAAATTAATTCATGCTATAATATACTAAATGTTTCCTTCTAGCCTCTTTCCTCCCCCTGCAGGTATGAAGACCTCTCACAAAAAGGTACCTGCAGAGCCAGAAACCGGGGACGCAGTCAGTCACCACACCGGATCTGCAAATGTGAAGAAGAAAAAAACATCTCAAAAGAAGCAGCGGGGCAGACCTTCGTCCCAGCCCCCCAGGAACATCGTGGGCTGCAGGATTTCCCACGGATGGAAGGAAGGCAACGAGCCCGTCACCCAGTGGAAAGGGACCGTTCTCGATCAGGTGCCTATAAACCCCTCTCTTTATCTGGTGAAATATGATGGGATTGACTGTGTCTATGGACTGGAGCTTCACACAGATGAAAGGATTTTAAAACTTAAAATCCTTCCTGATAAGGTGCCATTGTCTCGAGTCAGAGATGCGCGCCTTGCCAACACCATCATTGGCAAGGCTGTGGAGCATATGTTTGAGGGCGAGCATGGTTCTAAGGATGAGTGGAGAGGGATGGTGTTAGCCCAAGCACCAATCATGAACAGCGTGGTTTTATATTACCTATGAGAAAGATCCCGTGTTGTACATGTACCAGCTTCTGGATGACTATAAGGAAGGAGACCTGCGTATCATGCCAGAGCCCAGTGAGCCTCCTCCAGCGGAGAAGGAGCCAGAAGGAGTTATAGATGGCCTGATAGGCAAACATGTGGAATATACCAAAGAAGATGGCTCCAAACGGACAGGCAAGGTTATTCACCAAGTCAAAGCCAAACCTTCTGTGTATTTTATTAAGTTTGATGATGATTTCCATATCTATGTCTATGATTTGGTGAAAAGGTGCTCTTAGGGTACAATTTGCCACATTTGTGGAGGCAAATGTTTGATTTGGAGGCAGAAAAAATGTACCTTTTAATGTATAGAAAGCTTTAGACTCCCTTTGCCAGCACCGTTGCCAGCATAATGTTGATTTGTTCTAAAAAATACAAATGTGTGTGGACATGACATGCTGTGTGGAAGGACTTTATCATGTTGAAGAGACTGGGTGTGTTTAGTGGATGGGGCATGAAAGGAAGGGACAGCTGTAAATTCAGGCTGTGAATAAAGTTCAGCTAGCATCATAGTCAGTCATCTAAAAATGGAATAGGACTTAGCTGGCCTGGTCTAGGAAGGAGGGAGGAGAAGGAACTAGAGATGGGCTGTGGGGGGAGGGCAAAGGGGAGGTTACTGCTTAGGAAGAAGTGGGGAGGGCCAGAAATGGAGGGGCTTCCTGGGGGGAGGGATGTCTTAGCAGGGGGCGGCACCCAACTGGGAGGAGATGAGAATAACAGAGGGAGAGGGAGCTCTTGGGGCTGAGAGGAAAACAGACTGAATAACTTGAGTAGAGAGGGGCACAAAGAATCTCAGAAGAGGTCCAGAGCAAGGGGAGAAAGACAAAGTTGGCAGGGATTTGGGGAGAGGCTAAAGGATACTTACTCTGAGGTAGGACCTATGCATGTGAGGACCAAAGGGCCAGGGATACTGAAGAAGGAGGAATTCCAAGAAGAAAGACTGACCAAGGGAGTGAGCCTAGAGAAAAAGAGGTGTGGGGAGTGGGGCCCATGAGAGATGGGAAGGCCCAGGAAAAACTTGCACTTCTGACCTGTCCACATTGCTGTCCCTGGCTCTGGGCACAAAGCATGAGGCAACTGAAAGAAACCAGGTGGCTTGGAGGTTCTAGAAGGGTATTTTGACAGGGGTGACTCAAGGGTTAAGCAGGAGCCAGGTTTATACCTAAAAGTCTTATTTCAGGGACTTCATGCCACAACTGCAAAGCAGAACCCCTGACCCTCAGCCTAAACCAGGGGTGGGCAAACTTTTTGACTCGAGGGCCAGAATGGGTTCTTAAACTGGACCGGAGTGCCGGAACAAAAGCATGGATGGAGTGTTTGTGTGAACTAATATAAATTCAAAGTAAACATCATTACATAAAAGGGTACGGTCTTTTTTTTTTTTTTTAGTTTTATCAGTTTGCCCACGGCTGGCCTAAACACACCAGCATTGTGCATTAAGCATGTGGCTGTGGTGGCCTCATTGCTCAGAGGACCCAGGTGCAACAAATCCTGAAGGTCTTGGTTCCTCACCCTGCACTGTGTAAGCAATTCCTGTGGGAACGGGTCGGCGGGGCTCACAGATCTGAAGAGCTGTGCCCTGTTGCATTTGGAAAGTATTTTATCCACAAAAATGGAACCTTGCAGAACCCAGCAGCATCAGTCCCTTCATTGTTCTTCCTCTGGCGGGACTGAACCTTGCTTCCTTCAGAGGAGGGACATCAGAGGATTGTGCCTACTGTTTCTCTCCAGGGCATGGGCATGACAGTCCATACTTCTCATCATTGGCTTCAGTCCATGCCTCTCACAGGTGGCTCCAGCCAGTGCCCACCAAACTGAGGTCTGCTGTCCCCATAAGCCCCATCTGTTGGCTGTATCCCAACAGGTGGGCTGGCTACTGACTTCTCCGGGAACTGCTGGCCAGTTTTGCCCGCCCAGGCACATGGGCAGCAGTGATGGGAGTTAGTGGGGCTGTGTTTCCAGGTGAGCTGGATGGCATGGGAAGTTGTCACTCACTCCTTCGGCTCTGTCACTCACTCCTTCCGCTCTGTGTTGCCACATAGAGGTGTAGTGCTTGTTGGTGTGAGGCTGCAGTAACCCCAGTAAAGTCCCTCAGAGATATGGTGTCCTGACACATGGGTCTGTCTACGTCCTTCTCTTCCTCTCTTCTTCTCCTTTCCCTAGACCTATTAGTGACATTCCCCTTAAAACTCTGGTTTACCCACTTCCCACTTCACGTAAATATACCTGCTCATAATGGAAGGGTTCTGATGACTCGTCACTGCCAATGTTCCCCAAACTCGATGCATAGCAGGAGGAGAGGGAGGCAGGGACCTTCCTGGAATTGAAAGAAAGTGTTATCTCAAGAATGGCATAAGTAAGCCCACCTCACCATAGCAGGGGTTAGTTTTTCTCATAGATCATACAGTTTGTTCTGGCATTCACCTACAGGTCACCCATGGGCCAACTTCAGGCAGCTGCCTTGTTTTGTCTGATCTTCATGTTTTCATTGCTTTCTGTGTTTAAATTAGCTACTTCGGCATTTGCGAGGATTCATATTACAGAAATTCTTACTTCTGGCCCACCTGAAAAACATCATAAACAGTAACTAACAGGTAGGACCCAACAAGGTTCCTACAAGGATACAGCAGCCCATTATAGACTCAGGTGCTCCCTCAAGGTGGCCAAGCCCCCAGCTGGCCTGCTTCACTCTAATGAATAAAATGCCCAGTTGCCCCCTGGAGGCATTAGTGTGTGTAGCTTTGAGGCAAGACCCAGGGAAAACTGACTAGCTCCCCTTTTGCCTTAGTTTGACCCCCTTTTTTATTTATTTGTTTTATCTTCATCTCACCAATAGTAACCACAAATAGCTCTCTGCCGGCAGTCTTCTAGGCACAGGCATTTATGATGTGGTAATGATCAAAAGAAACAAGTAGCCCTAACTGGTTTGGCTCAGTGGATAGAGCCTTGGCCTGCGGACTGAAGGGTCCCAGGTTCGATTCCGGTCAAGAGCATGTACCTTGGTTGTAGGCACATCCTCAGTAGGGGGTGTGCAGGAGGCAGCTGATTGATGTTTCTCTCTCATCGATGTTTCTAACTATCTCCCTCCCTTTCTCTCTGTAAAAAATCAATAAAATATGTTTTTTTAAAAAGAAACAAGTAAAATAATCCTACCCTCATGGAACTTTCATTTTAGTGTGCCAGATAATAGCAAAGATGCATTAAGTAAATACAGTAGGTCCTTGGGTTACGTCAGAGATCCATTCCTAAGGCGCGATGTAACATGATTTTCACGCACCGTAAGTCGGAACCCACCTACATAAGCACCTACGTCACTCACAGGGAGCGCATACACAGCAGTAATGAAGTGAAACAGTAAAAAAAAAAAATTAAAAGATAACAATTCCTGACCTTTACTTGTGGTAAATAAATAATAAAAAACATAAAGCACATATGTGCATACGTCGAAATGACGGAACTTTTTTTTAAATAAATAAATGGGAGATGGCGACGTAACCACAAAACGACGTACGTCGAGTCCGACGTAACCCGAGGACTGTCTGTACAAAGTATTTTCAAAGTGATAAGTGTTAAGAGGGAAAATAAGGAAAGCAAAGAATGAGGAATGGAAATTCCAGACAGGAGCCTGAAATTGATTAGACAGGAAGGCCAGGGAGAGCCTCACTGAGAAGGTGGCTTTTGAGTAAAGACCTAAAGGCAGTGAGAGGACTGGCCCTGTGCATGCCTGGGAAGGAGGATTCCAGGTACAGGGACAGCAAGTGTGAGCACCCAGGACACGTGTGTCTGCCATGTTCTAGAGACACTGAGGATACCAGCATGGCTG